TCTGATGTCATCTCATGGATTATTATCTCAGTTAAAACAAACGAAATATCCCACTTTGTAAATACCAATTACAGTACTTTAGTTCAACAAGAAACTTGATGTAGCGAAGGCGACGGCTTGTTCGCCTAAATCTCTTTTGATTCTGATGTCATCTCAGGGATTATTTTCTCAGTTGAAAAAAACCAAGGATCCCACTTTGTTGATACCAATTTATGAGTACTTTAGTTCAACAAGAATCTTGATGAAGCGAAGGCAACGTTTGTACGCCTAACTGCCTTTTGATTCTGATGTCATCTCAGGGATTATTTCTCAGTTGAAACAAACCAAGGATCCCACTGTGTTGAGACAACTTAATCAGTACGTTAGGTTCAACACGAGACTTGCTGTAGCGAAGGCGACGGCTTGTTCGCCTAACTGTCTTTTGATTCTGATGTCATCTCAGGGATTATTTTCTCAGTTGAAACAAACCAAGGATCCAACTTTGTTGATATTACATTATCAGTACTATGGTTCAACAAGAAACTTGATTTAGCGAAGGCAACGGATTGTTCGCCTCACTATCTATTGATTCTCATATCATTTCATCGATTATTTTCTCATTTGAAACAAACCAAGGATCCCACTTTGTTGATACCTCTTTATCAGTACTTTAGTTCAACAACAACTTGGTGTAGCGAAGGCAACGGCTTGTTCGCCTAACTGCCTATTTATTCTAAATTTAACTCAGGGATTATTTTCTCATTTAAAAAATACCAAGGATGTCATTATGTTGATAAATAATTCAGTATTTTAGTATAACAAGAAACTTGATGTAGCGAAGGCAACGGCTTTTTCGTTTAACTGCCTTTTGATTCATATGTCATCTCAGAGTTTATTTTCTCAGTTGAATAACAAATTCGCCTATTTATTCTGATGTCAACTCAGGGATTATTTTCTCATTGAAAGGAAACCAAGGATTCCACTTTGTTGATACCACTTAATCAGTACATTAGTACAACAAGAATGTTGGTGTAGCGAAGGCAACGGCTTGTTCGCCTAACTGCCGATTGATTCTGATGTCATCTCACGGATTATTTTCTCAGTTGAAACAAACCAAGGATCCCAATTTGTTGATACCAATTTATCAATACTTTAGTTCAACAAGAAAATTGATGTAGCGAAGGCAACGTCTTGTTCGCCTAACTGCCTATTGATTCTGATGTCATTTCAGGGATTATATTCTCGGATGAAAAAAACCAAGGATCCCAATTTTTGATACCACTTTATCAATACTTTAGTTCAACAAGAAATTGATGTAGCGAAGGCAACGGCTTGTTCGCCTAACTGCCGATTTATTCCAATGTCATCTCATGGATTATTATCTCAGTTGAAACAAACCAAGGATCCCACTTTGTTGATACCAATTTATCAGTACTTTAGTTCAACAAGAAATTGATGTAGCGAAGGCAACGGCTTGTTCGCCTAACTGCCGATTTATTCTAATGTCATCTCATGGATTATTATCTCAGTTGAAACAAACCAAGGATCCCAATTTGTTGATACCACTTTATCAGTACTTTAGTTCAACAAGAAAATGATGTAGCGAAGGCAACTGCTTGTTCGCATAACTGCCGATTTGTTCGAATGTCAATTCATGGATTATTATATCAGTTGAAACAAACCAAGTATCCCACTTTTTGATACCACTTTATCAGTATTTAGTTCAACCAGAAACTTGATGTAGCGAAGGCAACGGCTTGATCGCCTAACTGTCGGTTGATTCTAATGTCATCTCATGGATTATTATCTCAGTTGAAACAAACCAAGGATCCCACTTTGTTGATACCACTTTATCAGTACTTTAGTTCAACAAGAAACTTGATGTAGCGAAGGCAACGGCTTGTTCGCCTAACTGCCTATTGATTCTGATGTCATCTCAGGGATTATTTTCTCAGTTGAAACAAACCAAGGATCCCACTTTGTTGATACCACTTTATCAGTACTTTAGTTCAACAAGAATCTTGATGTAGCGAAGGCAACGGCTTGTTCGCCTAACTGTCTTTTGATTCTGATTTCATCTCATGGATTATTTCTCAGTTGAAACAAACCAAGGATCCCATTGTGTTGATACCAATTTATCAGCACTTTAGTTCAGCAAGAAACTTGGTGTAGCGAAGGCGACGGCTTGTTCGCCTAAATGTCTTTTGATTCTGATGTCATCTCAAGGATTATTTTCTCAGTTGAAACAAACCAAGGATCCCACTTTGTTGATACCAATTTATCAGTAATTAGTTTAACAAAAACTTGCTGTAGCGAAGGCGACGGCTTGTTCGCCTAACTGTATTCTGATGTCATCTCAGGGATTATTTTCACAGTTGAAACAAACCAAGTATCCCACTTTGTTGATACCACTTTATCAGTACTTTAGTTCAACAAGAACTTGATGTAGCGAAGGCAACTGCTTGTTCGCCTAACTGCGATTTGATTCTGATGTAATATCAGGATTATTTTCTCAGTTGAAACAAACCAAGGATCCACTTGTTGATACCACTATTATCAGTACGTTAGTTTCAACATGAGACTTGTGTAGCGAAGGCGACGGCTTGTTCGCCTAACTCTCTTTTGATTCTGATGTCATCTCAGGGATTATTTTCTCAGTTGAAACAAACCAAGGATCCCACTGTGTTGAGACAACTTAATCAGTACGTTAGGTTCAACACGAGACTTGCTGTAGCGAAGGCGACGGCTTGTTCGCCTAACTCTCTTTTGATTCTGATGTCATCTCTGGGATTATTTTCTCAGTTGAAACAAACCAAGGATCCCACTTGTTTTAGACAATTCAATTAGTACGTTAGGTTCAACACGAGACTTGCTGTAGCGAAGGCGACGGCTTGTTCGCCTAACTGTCTTTTGATTCTGATGTCATCTCAGGGATTATTTTCTCAGTTGAAACAAACCAAGGATCCCACTTTGTTGATATCATTATCTGTACTTTAGACCAAAAAGGAAATTGATGTTGCGAAGGCAAACAGCTTGTTCGCCTGACTGCCTAATGATTTTGATGTAAACTCAGGGATAAATTTTGTCAGTTAAATCAAATCTAGTATCCCACATTTTTGATACCACTTTATCAGTTCTTTAGTTCAACTAGACAATTGCTGTAGCGAAGGCGATGTCTTGTTCGCTTAACTGCCTATTGATTCCGATGTCATCTGAGAAATTATTTTCTCGGTTTAAACAAACCAAGGATCCTAAGATGTTAAGAAACCTAATCAGCACGTTGTGTTCAACAGGAGATATTCTGTAGCGACGACGACACCTTGGTAGCCTGACTGTCTATTGATTCTTATATCATCCTAGGGATTATTAACTCAGCTGAAACAAACCAGTATCCCAACGTTTTGAGACAGCTTACTCAGTAGGTTTGGTTCAACTCGAGATTGCTTTAGCGAAGGCGACTGCCAGTTCGCGTAAATATCTTTTGAATCTGATTTTATCTCATGGATTATTATCTCAGTTAAAACAAACCAAGGATATCACTTAGTTGATAATTATTTATCAGTATTTTTTTCAACAAGAATCTTGATGTAGCGAAGGCAACGGCTTCTTCGCATAACTGTTTTGATTCTGATGTCATCTCAGGGATTATTTTATCAGTTGAAAGAAACCAGGGATCCTACTGTGTTGAGAAAACTTAATCAGTACGATAGGTTCAACACGAGACTTGCTGTAGCGAATGCGACGGCTTGTTCACCTAACTGCCT